ATTATGAGAATTGATATTTTGATGTTTACCTCAGGTTTCAAAGCTTCGGGAAAGAGATATCAAAGGTTTCATACATAAAAAGAAAGCCTCAGTGATTATTCTCTCTGTATATTTTTATTTCATCATCATCATTTCACAGTTGGCTGGAGAAATCCTTTCACACAAGACTGACGGACAAGTCGGAAAACGCCAACATTTCGTTGACAACTGACAGTCACTGCATTCTAATAAACAATTAGATTATGAGCTCGAGATTTTTATCGCGGGGCGCAGCCCGAGTCAACTATCACGTATAGAAATCGAGAGCGAATAATCTGGTTGTTTTAGTATAAATCCACTAGTCGTTCAAAACTTTGTCTAAATCCTCTTCACAGACACCTCGAAAACGCAAAGAAGCGGCCGTTATTGATAACAAGGGGACACTGCTACGCTACTATCACAGAATAGATAGTGAGTAGCGCAGCCAATCAGAGAACGGCGTTCATGATAGTACGCTAGTAGATTTATACTAACAACGATTAGTGGGACTCTACTAGTCTACTAATGCAAGTGCTGCAACCTGATTGGCTGAGCTACTCATCTACTATCAGCCATTAGTATAAATCTACTAGCGTTCATTCACAAATGCCGTTCTCTGGTTAAGTTAAGAAATGTCACAGTGGACTGTAACTTCATAATACCTATTGTAGTAGAACATTTTATCGCCTGGATCTTCTCGTAAACTCGAGTGATGTCTTGACCAGACATATCAAATCTTTAAATTCCCCATACCACTGAATTGAATTGATCCTTTGTGTCCAAGTAGTTGAGTCGACTAGCCGAAGATGCAATTGATGATGAATTCTTGTTTGCAAGAGCCATTGTTAACGAATTGAAAACCGACTAAAACACAAAATAGCGGAGCGCAATAAAATACGTGTGAACTCTCTGAGAGTTGACAAGGGAAAAGCACCTGATCTCCAAACCATCACTAGAGCACATCCTCTTATATCCATTTTCTGTAATCTTAATTGTTCTAAATCTAACGAATATTGCATGTTACATATAGCGACCGTTGCGGAAGTAGTATGTATCACAGGAACTCATCCTCGAACCGCGTGTTTGGGATCAGGCAGTTTATTTCAATCCTACACACACACTGAACAGCACGGAAAATGATTCATTCTATAATTACAATCTTCGAAATAAACTACGATAGGACTAGAGGCCAATCGAGAGCCTGTACAAGATAATTATAAATACATAAATTACGAGATTATCAACACATCAAGAAAAACAAACATATAACTGCCATGGAAGTGAAGGGGAAAGCTAATGCTGGTAACTTGAAAAGGCGTTAATAATAGTAGCTATTGCTCTATTGCTAAGAATGATACTGATGTTCGCTAGATCGTAATTCCATGTTACATACTACGTATGAAGCAATACTACAGTTATTTTACACAGTAAACTTTTTATTACATTAACTTTGTACTTATCTTTATTACGGTATGGTTTTAAGCTTCCTTAAGCTTCATGTAACAATGAAGTGAAAAATACTGCAATATAATTTCTGATTTTAATTAGTAATGTCATTAAAATAATATTTTTTCAATATGATAATTATTAGTAACAATCAACAGTCAACTTTGGCAGCCAATTGTCAACCAATTTGATAAGAAATATTGACCGTAGGGGGAATACGAAAAAAAAGCCTACAGAATTTTAGTTTACTTTCACGGTTCTTACTGTTGCATTCTTACTGGGGTTTTTTTGTTTTTTTTTTTGTTTTTTTTTCTTTCACAAAACCACATTTGCAAGTCTTCAGTTCTTCTTAAAGACTAATTTCTTAGGTTTGCAGAAAAGATGTTTTTGGTAGTCTTGACCTCCTGCAAAATCTTGAATTTACTGTTCACCACAAATGGTATAGAAAATCTTGCAGGTTTTGAAAATTTTTGATCCAATCTCATACATGTCTCGCAATCCTTTGTGATGAGTCACAAAAGTCTCGTTTTTGTTTTTCTTTCTGTTACTGGGATTAAACTGTGTTAAGTCGTAGTCCTGGAATTTCAAACAAGGATCTTACCATCTTGGCAAGTCTTGGACCATACCATTTGTAACCCATTAATAACACCTAATTACTAAAGGTTGTAAACGAGTCACACTGAAATGTCACCTCATATTCGTGCTAGTAGCTACACAATCAAGGACACAGTGTAATTAACAATCCCTCAGTCTTGACTTTATGTTTCTTTCCGTCCCTGAGTCTAAAACTTTTAATTAAGTCTTTCAAGCTCAGACAAGGATTTTGCTGTCTTAGCAAGTCTTGGGTCTTACCGTTTGGAGCCCCTATCACACCTAACTAAAGGTTGTAAACACTGAAATGTCACGTCATACTTGTGCTAGTAACTACACAATCAAGGATGCAGTGTAATTAACAACCCCTCAGTCTGTGTAAATATCTATAATTTGGTCAGAAAGATTTTAATCAAGATAATCTTCAAAAGACCCTTTACGTCCCTTTCCTTTTAAAAAATCCTTAGCCCCTTCAATGGCATCTTTCATGGTTTTCAGCTTCACTCCCTTTGCGTGCTCGTATGTCAAGGCATCATTAAAAGACTCTGCATTGAACATAGAGTAGAACACAGCCTTGCGTTCAGCAGTGAGCGCCTCTGTTGGGAAACGAGCAATTAGTTTAGCAAGCTTGATAGCCTCTTCAACTGCTTTTCCCTTAGGAACAATTCTGTTCACTAAGCCCATGCTATAAGCTTCTTTAGCATCCACTGCTCGGCCTGTCATTATCAGGTCTAATGCACGTGATAGGCCGACAATGTATGGCAACCTTACAGTACCGCCATCCAGAAGAGGAACACCTGAAGTTAAATGAATGATGATGATGATGATGATATATTTATATAATTTATAATAACATTTATATAAAATACACCATTTTAGATATTAATTGTTAACACTCAGATATTTTACATGTTGCTTAAAATTTGTCAGAAATGAAGTAAATGGTACAAGGAAAACTATGATGTCTGCACAGGTATTGTCTGTATACCAGTGTACTAAAGATTTATTATAGACAACTGTTATAAGACTAAACAACAGTGTAACACACTCTTGTATATATGTTCCATGTTATTTTGACCTTAGATAGTCAGACGACTCAATTAATTATGCATGTTTTGCCTAGTTGTTATATAGTCCTAACAGTTTTTCAAATATTCTGTAACTGACGATGATGTTTGCAACATCAAAACATGTCTTATAAATTAAAAAATGTCGTAATCTTCTTAAAAATGAAATAATGATTTTTATTACATGGCAAGGTAGACTTGAGGTAAATCCAAGCTTAACCTGTTAATTGCTTCTTAGAAAAGGAGCAGAGCAATTGATAAGCTACTCACTAACCTAACTAACTTGAGCCGCACTGGGAACATGGGCCCTCGATCATTTTTGTACAGACCTCGGGCCAATATTCCCCAGTACAACCCTCATGTTTGGTTAGTAAGACTGGTTATTATTACATGGCTAGCTCAATGGGAAGGAAAGATGAACCTAATCCTGGTCTGCAATTGGCTACCGAGCAGACAGGCTGGTGTGTCTTGCCCACGTTTCCGTCCTTCAAGAAAATGATGTTCTTTATGCCATATAACAACTCTCTTATTTAATCACAAGCTTGTTTGGTCAAGATGGCTGAACACTGAAATGTCACTCGGGAGGTTAGGGAGGGGTGGGGAGAACTCCCAGGAGAAAAGGTCGGAAATGCTCATCAGAAAAATGCTCATCAGAGAAATGCTCCCGGTGCAACCCTAAAGGATACCTTGACCACTAAAAATATTTTGTCCTGAACATCCTAAGGGAGACAAAGAGTATCCCCAACCTTTCCACATGGAAGTTCCCCTCCCTGGAATGACACCAGTACTTTACCAAATCTCCTGTTAAATATTCCCATAACTGTATCTTCTGCAACAACCCTGAGGTCACACATCAAAGCTAACTCCATTCCTCCGGCAACTGCATATCCTTCAATGGCACCAATCACTGGTTTACTGAGCTTAAGTCGAGATGGGCCCTACAAAGAACAACAACAACAAAAAACTATGCAAAAATGTATTAAATTTATTATGCAGTTCCTTTTAGCTACATGTATTTTGAATTTGTAGATAGACATACACAGTGACTCACAACAACATTTGGCGTAAAGGTGGTCACAAGAAAATATTTGCTGGCAAGACAGATGACTTTCATCGCTGGGTACCAGTTAATTTAATGCTGGGGGTAACCGTGCGATGGACTAGCATCCCATCCAGGGGGGGGGAGTAGAAATATTCCTAGTTGCTTCATACTACAGAAACCGGGATAAGCTCCGCCCTGGTGGGCTCCTTGGCTCATATGCAGACTTAACATTAAACACAATAGCCTCTACTTGGTGCCACAATATGCACGGATGTTTGTTCTTGGACATTATCTGTTCCTTAAAGCTCACAATTTTCCTCGAGCTACTCTCTTGGAAAACTGTTTGCTTCTCGGAACAGATAATGCCCACAGACAAGTATCCGAGCACATTTTTGTACCAATTGGAGGCTATTGTTTATATATCTTGAAATTACCTGTGACAAATGGGTCAATCAAATGTACTTGAAATAATTCGATTTTCTGTAGATTACTACATGTAGTGCGCATGTTGTACAGAGCGACTTGCACCTTTGCAACCTGAATGCCCACAAATTACCAAAAAATAGACAAATGAAGTTATTTTTCAGTCACAACACTGGAAAAGTTAAGAGTAGCCTGATTGCTTAAATGGATTTTCGCGCGAAGTCGACCGAACAAGCTCATTAGACGCGCTAATCGTCGACGTGATATTTATACAAGGTTATTTATTCTTGCTGCAGGAGTTTACTGGGAACACACAAATTGCAGTACATCGTGCACGAGATCACGAGATGGCGAAATAAACAACCGATTTTTACCAGAAAACAGAGGAATAAGAGCCAAGCAATCAATCGACACTAGTTGGTTTCAAGCTTCCCGCCGAGCCAACATGGCACGTTCGTACATATGATTATGCAAAGCTCGTGCACACGATCACGCTATGGCGATCACGTAAACATTATAAGAACACAGCCATAACCAACTGAAAATACCAAAGCGAAAGCATTTTTCATAATATAGAGAAATCCTTCTGTGAGTAAAGCTTAATTTAATTTCGAGCAAACACTTGTTTTTCTTGTTTTATTTCCAAGATAAACAACGCAAAATATCTCACCATGGGTGCATCTCCTTCCCCAGGTGGTGCGATTGATTTAAGATACTCATCTGGGCCCCTTTGAGATAATTCTTCCAAGTCATATCCAGCACAAAACGTATCTCCTTTCCCGTATAACACGGCCACCGCGCATTCATCGTCGATCTCGAAATTGCGAAACGCTTCTGCAAGTAGCTCCGCGGTTTTTGCATTGACCGCGTTGCGCTTCTCTGGCCGTGCGATCGAAACGAAAAATATTTTGCCATCTTGATCAGTCTCGACCAAAGTGCTGTTCAATCTTCTGGAAGAGGCTACCAGAGAAGGAATCTTGACAGCCTGTGGTCGAATTCGACGTGCAAAAAGAGAAAGCGCCATTTTGCAACAAAGATCAGCCCCTCTTTAGACCCTCAAAATACTTGGCCCAAACCTGGGACGAGTAAGTTTCTAAGAGCAACTGTTATCCAATCAGATTGTTCGATCATGAGTCTTCGAGAAAACATGGCGACGTCGTCTCAGTTACCTGGCCCCATTTCACTTCCAACTAGAAGAACTGTTCAGAAACAACTTTATCTTTCTAAGAACGAATGCGAATGAGATGAACAAATGACGGGCCCTAAAGAAGGAAAATCGGACGAGTTTTCCTCGGGGGAAGACGAGGAATCTTTGAGGGAGCTGGTAAGCTTTCAACGTGCACGCGAAATTTTGTATAAATTTTCCCAGATGTTTTGTCTGTGGTCAAGTTCACTGTGGGACCTTGTTGTAATGCTTGAGTGGCTTTTGTGATCGTTTTTGCTGTGGGTTCCCTTGTGTTCCTATCATGTTATGGCCGATTGAAAGATTAATGAACAGTAAATATTATTGACAACGCATTAAAAATTAACTTGTAAAGATCAACAGCAGCACATATAATTTTGAGCTTATATTTTAACCTTCAGCTGCACAATGTTTACAATACGTTTTCAGTGATCTAATAAAGAAAATATGAACTGTTCTCTTTTCTAATAATGCTCAGTGCTGGAGTGTACACCGTACATTATGACTGAAGTTGTTCTCCTTAAAAAATCACTAAGGGTCATATAGTTTCTCTTTATTTGAGGTCATGACTAGCTGCAGTCAAACCTCTATAAGACGGCCACCTTGGGGAGGAAGTGGCTGTTGTGGAGAGGTGGTCGTTATGGGGAGGTAGGAGTGTAATATGACACCTGTCATTTTTCAGGGAGTGTAACATTTTTGTCTTAAAAAAATGCTTATGTAGCATATACATATAAGTATGTAACACGATCAAAATATATCAATAAACGGTAGCTGCCGATTTCGCCCCATGGCGAGTTCGCCCCCACCGAGTTCGCCTCCACATCAACTCAACTTGATCAAGTTCGCCCCCAACCAGATCGAGTCGTATATAGGAATCATTCCTTGTTCTTTTATCCACTGCCTCATTAGATTACTGGTGGTGAGGTGACTTCGCATGGTGGAGAGTTCATTGGTGGCGAGACTCCCTGGTGGCGAGATGACCGATAACTGTTGGACTTTGTTGCTATGCGCTCACGAACAGGCGAACAATCATCTCAGCTTATCAAACATACATAGACTGAAATGGTTCTTCGAAAACGTTCAATAACTCGATGACAACTACATAAACACAAACACTAAAAGTTGGGGGCGAACTCAAAATAGAAATTTTATAGTGGGGGCAAACTCAGTGGGGGCGAACTCGCCATGGGGCGAAACCGGTATCATTCCAACAAACAAACAGAGACCAAAACGGCTTGGCACTGCTCAAGTTTCATGGCCATTTTCCACAAAAATAGGGTTTTGTATACACCACCATTCATCTGTTGTTGATGAACTGGTCATTATCAAGAGGTTTTTTTGACAGTTGGTATGTGTTTTTGTGGCGGTTACTATTGTGGAGAGGTGGCCATTGTAGAGGGGTTAAAATAAAAGTAAATGTAAAGACCATCCGCTGGGACAAAAAAAGGAGCCATTATGGAGAGGTGCCCTTTGTGGAGAGGTGGCTGTTCGTAGAGGTTCGACTGTATTTGCAAGCATTCAAGTCATATTCACAGAAGTTGGATGTGTTGGCTTTTTCCAACAGTAATGACATAAAGTTGGAAAAGTTAATTGTCATCCCTGGGCATTGGAATAATAATAAATAAATTATTAGCCGGAGACACTTGTGTAGGACCTACATGTGAGGTATGAGATGCCTACTCTCATGATACTGTTTGAGACTGTGTGGGTTCAATTCTAATACAGGGTCCAAAATTGCAACTTAATGCGAGTGTTGAAAACTAATCAGTTTTCAAACTAGCCACTGGTATATAACTTTAAACGTTGCCTTATGACCTGGCACTCAAGCCAGTTTGTACAAATGCATAATGTGGGAAATTTAAGTCAGGAATTAGAAAGGTTAACCAACTGATTTATCAAAGCACATTACTGACAGTAACTAAGATTCTTGTAATGGTACAATGGTTACTTTGCTTTAGTTTGCTTCAATGGTTGCAGCTATGTGTTATTTTTTTAAATTTATTTTTCTTATTATTTTTGCATTTTTGCTTTTGTTTTGTTCTGTTTTGGGATGCGAAGAAACAAGCGGTTCAGTCTTCTAATAGAGGAGCAAAAAGGATCAAAAAGAAAAGTTCCCTTGCTGAACTGGTAACAATTTTGTTTGTGGTAGCACCATGCACAGTCATGCTGAAATAAATATTTATTTGTATTCTATGACTATATGAAGAAAAGAAGAATTGCAGACAGCTTGTAAAAGGTTGTGATAAATTTATGTTCACATCACATGTGTAAATCAATATCAGTGAAAGTTTATGGTGGACTGGTACAGATCAAAAACAGTTTGCATTGTATTTGTTTTCACTGTTTTCTTTCACCAATTTTTTTTTTCTGCACTTTATTTTGGTAACATGAAGCCTTGTACATGTACAAGATTTGTTTGTTCAATGTCATAATAATTATCATTGATACTTATTCTTGTATTTTCAAAAATAAATTCAATCTTTAATTAGTTATAATTTTTGATTAGTTATAATTTTTAATTAGTTTTAATGCTATAATTAGTTTTAATTTGTATAATTAGTTACAATTGAATAGAGATCTGTACTTTCATTTGTAACATATTTATTCAAGTGTTAAATGCCTCATAAAAATGATCATATCTGGTGGTGTACATTTTTCTTTGGGTTAAATGACTGAAACCAGTATTAAATAAATGTAATTTGATTTCTTTTGTCTCAAGTTATAATAATGTTATTATCACAAAAGGAAAATAACAATCACACAAGTTTGAAAAAACTTCAATCAAAAACAAAATATAATCCACATACAAATAGTATGGATGTTTATGTTTTTGTGTACAAGCTTTTGCCGATATGCATATGTATCTACAAATTATTGCTTCTATTGAAGTTTGTTATCAAAATAATGTTTAATAGTTTTGTTGTTTAGATACCTTGCTCTGCATGTGGCTTAGAGAGAAAGCCATTCAAAAAGTCTTTATTTTTCCATACAAAAAAATTGTTTTGTCTTCAGAAGCCATTTGAAAAGAATCACTTTTGTTCCCTTACAATAGTTCTTTAATAATTCACAGTGAGTTATCTTAAGCTGGTTTGTAGTTTTATTCCATATCTTTGTATCAGTATCGGAACACTGTGTAACATTGTACAAATGTTTTGATTGCAAGATAATGTTTTTGATCATCAATTTTCTGCTAAACAACTGCATGGCTGAAGAGGCAAGAAAAATTTGATTGCCTATCGTTTGTCTTTACATTGTGTTTACTCTATGTGCTACCCTCAAATGCAATCTTGTTGTCTAAAAATATATCAAAACTGTATAATTTTACATGACTGAGTCTTACATGTATCGTAAGACATGTCTCAGTGTTCAAAAATTGCTTCAGCGCAACAGTGGTTCACCATATGGTCCATGGTATGTATGACTTGTTTTGAAATGCCATGCCTTAACAAGCATTTAAATGGAATATTCCTAAGGGGTTTTATAGAAATGTTGTCTTGATCTTACATCTAGCATGTTTTTGTTTTTTTAATTTTAAAAGTAAAAAAAAAAAATCTCATATAGTGGTTTATTCAGTAAAAAAGTTCTTGTGAAGCGCCATTGAACCATTGGGAAATGGCGCTCTATAAATTTTATTATTATTATTATTATTATTATCATTATTATTATTATTATTATTATTATTATTATTATTATTATTATTATTATTATTATCTTGATCCAGAAAATATCCTTCCATCAGTTTTTTGGTTTGAATGTCCTTCCTCCACACCTCTTGAAATCCCAGTCTAGCTTCATACATGTACTTGCCTTGAGAAATGTTGCCATTTTAAACACCCACCCCCTTGGAATTTTTATTGACCCTCCATGGATTGGGAATGGAGTGCACATTGTTTCAAAGGTGGTATGTTTCACTTTGAAAACATGCCACATGAAATTAATGTTATGGAACATATTTATTTCTTAGAGTCAGTTACACTGTACATTCCATGTTTGTGAGAATCCCAGATTATCTGGTAGAAAAACATATTAAGCTGTTCAGATCCATGCTCACCTTATACCACAAGAGATAGCAGCACTTGTCATAAATCCACGTAGATGATGTCTTATTTGTTATCATATCAGGTTGGATTATAATTACAATTTAAATCATTCATTTGGTATTTTCCTTGTTCTTTTGCCAGTGCACAATAAATGGAGTGAAGTTTGACAAGCTGCAGAAAGGATCCGGAAAGAATGTCACCAAGTTGGAGATGTTCTTCTCCGGGTTCCCTAAGATTATCGGCATGGAGTACTTTCCAAACCTCCAAAGCCTGACACTGATGGGACAGCAGATTGCAATACTGGAGAATCTTGACTGTTTACCAAACCTGACAGAGTTATGTGTGTCAGAAAGCAAACTTACTGTAAGTTGGATCCAGATTAGCATTAAATGTAAACTTAAGTAAATAAGTCAAGTCTTGCAAGAGCACAAAAATTGAACCTTGTTTACAACTTAATTTTGTGTGTTCTTTTAATTTTTTGTTGTTTATGTAGGTTAGTCACATAAGCTATTAAATATTAATATATAATGCTAGACAACAATTATTATTGTTAATGTTAGATACAGTTAAAACCGTATGTAAGAACCTACATTTTTGGAAGTCTGAAAAAACAGGTTCTTGTATTTTGGGGTACTTATTGGCAATTTAGGCTAGGTAGGTTCTTAATTAGGTTCTTATTAATTTCTGTGAAGAAAATATGGTTCCTGATGATTTTGATTAAACTTGGGTGTGGTCCTTGAAATATATACAGTATTTATTGACAACTGCATTATTGAGCCTAACACTGATTACAGAAATGTCTATAACAAGCTTAGAGTTGTAAAATGTTTATCATAATTTAACTGTAACCCACATTTAAGAACCTGCTTGATGTTGTTTGGCTAAACAGGTTCTCAAACCAAAACGGTTTACATATACATGAACCCAGCACCAAGATATTGCAGCATGATTCTGAAGACGAATCTGAAACCTGATTTTATTGTTTATTCATTTATTTATGACTATGCTTGTCTCAACAGACCATCTCTGGTCTCAATGGCTGTAAACAGTTGAAGAAGCTGCTATTGTATGACAACAAGATTTCTAAAATAGAAAATATTTCACATCTGGAGCAGCTCAATGTTTTGTGGCTCAACAACAACAAGATCAGTAGAATAGAGGTATATACGGGGTAAAATTTGAAATTTGAAGTTAATACAGTCAGCTTTCACAGAGTAGATGTCACTAGCTGTTAGGTAGATTTCTGGGATCATGTTTAGTGTAGGTGGTGTCGGCTCACACTCTGGACCAATATATCACCTGACACTTGGTCGATATGTTAGGCGAGTATTGGTTGACACTCAACCCATACATGGCCAATATATCGGCTGACAGTTGATTGAGTGTCAGTCAAGTATTGGTTGAATGTCAATCGAGTATCATTAGAGTTTTGGTTGATATGTCGGCCATTACTCAACTGACACTCAACTGACACACATATCAGCTAACATATTGACCAATACTCAACCGATACCCAACCAACACTTGACCGAACCTCAACCAATACTCAATTGATACTCGACAAACTGTTGGCTGATGTATTGGCCTTGTATCGGTCCTCACTCAGCCGATACTTGCCGACATATTGACCCAGTGTTGGCCGATATATTGGTCGATGGTGTTGACCAACACTGCCTACAGTCAACACGATCTGATTTCTGTATAACTTAAACAGACATGTTTACTGGTTGTCTGATGGGGAAACATGAAAGATATTTTTAAAGGAATGCATTAAATTTGGTCAAGATGTTGTCAGCAAGAAGACAAGACTAGGATATGTACATGTTGATCAAAATTTGATGATGTAGATAAATTGATAGGAGGTTTAATATTGAACAGAATTTTGCTATGTTTGTTACCAATGATGATGTTTTTTCCGATATAACATAAATTTCTTTATGTCCACACATTTACAGGGTTTAGAAGGGCTTCTTTATCTTCTTGATCTGAACTTGGCTGTAAATCAGATTACAGAAATAGGTGAGCAGTCCTCAAGACATAAAAAAAATGACACATTACCAAATGAATGGTTTCATGGAAACATACTCTACAATAATTATTATTGACATCTAACAGACTGCAAGATTCTCCTAGCAAATTGCTTTCCGCTTTCTTCTTTGCAAAAAAAGAGAATTTGACATGAGATCAGGAGTCAGTTATCATGCGCCCCTTCAAATGAACTCTTGTTCTCCTGAGCTGGATATTGTACTCTCACAATGCCTATCTCTTGCGTACTGTAGGAGTTCAAGTGGTTTACTGGTAAACTGTTGAGTAAGAACAGCCTGACAAAACCTGGAATATTGGCATATATCCCATACAGCTGGGGCATTCATCATTATTTTCATCCTGTAAAAATCAGGATAAGAAAAAAAGGGATAAGTTTGGCTCTACAAGGTTCTTTGACCTAAGCATAGACTTTTCCTTAATGCACTGTACACAGTCAAACTGTGGAAATGTACAGTCAAATATATCACTTATTTTTTGTAGGAAACTCTCTCAATGGAAACTTCAACCTGAAAACCTTAGATCTGTCTGCAAATCAGATTGCATCTTTAAAGGTATGTGTTTGAATTTTAATCATTTTCTGTTTTGGAAATTCAAAGGAAACAGTAAAAGATGACATTTTGTTGGGGTTATTTACATGACTGTAGTCATGACAGTAGTATTTTGAGATACAAATTAAGTACATCTTTGATCAGTGAACTTACATTATAGCATGCCATGGTTAGTGAGCTATGATATCAGACAGAGTACACATGATGGTAGTACAGTATACAGTGTGCATCATTGGATTATGATGCATGCTCATAGAGTGAGTGAAATCAAGCTTGCTTTGACAAAGAGTTGCCCATGGCTACACCTCAAGCAAATCTACATTTTTTGCTGTCCGAACTTTCTGCATGCATTATCAGGGGTTTCATTAAGTGCAGGGACTGGAAAAATTGACCAGCTGGGAGGACAATTTTGCCTGCCTGGTTTGACCATCTAGTGCAAAGTTTTTCTTACAAAAACATTCAGTTCAAAAAGTTTTGCCCTGCTGTGAAAACCAGTTGCCATCTTGCTGAAAATGTTAATGAAATCCCTTATGATATCTTGATGATGCATGCTAAAGCATGTATCAATCATTAATTGTAGCTCCATTTTAATTAATAAATAAATACAATGTTATAACTTCGAGGGTAAGGAACTTGTCTTAAATTCTCTTGATACAGGATCTAACAAATTTGTCTCAGCTGCCTTGTCTTGAGTCCCTAAGTCTTAAGGACCCTGTGTATGGACCCAACCCAGTGGCATTACTGTGCAACTACTCCACACACCTTCTGTACCATCTTCCTAATCTACGTCGTGTGGATTCCTACAGTGTGGAAAACAAGACACTGAAGGATTTGGCTGAGGTATGGAAAGAATTTGAGTTAAGGTGGAAAATAAGGGAAGAATGTCTACCTAGATTATCATTTGTCATCATCTTTTACCTTGGGTTCTCAATCACTATAAACCAATGTTTAAACTAACAAAGATTTTGGTCACTAAAGAAACTGTTCCACTGCATTGGCAGGCAAGTGAAACTCTGCTATTTATCAACTTTATGTCATTAAAGGTAAATTAATTGCTGTAGCAACTTTGTGAAGTCTAGCTTAAGCCTAATGCTAAAAAAATCAGCTTTGAAACTCACTATGGCAGTTAATTTATCTTAAGTTTAATCTTCAAGTTGATAAACTGCAAATTGTTTCAGTTGAAACTAATTCTTATAATTCTAATTGGTACGGTGGAATTTAACTTGTAGTTCTAACAATAGCAACCTTCCATTCTGTACTCAACAATGGTTTTTAACTTGTGCTGGTAGAGTAATTTGTATCATGGATTAGTAACTGAATCCTATTAACCCCCAATACATGTACATGCTAAAGCTATGGCAAAATAGTGTTCTGCACACATTGCATGCCTATATTGCTACTTATTTTTCTAATAATCGAGAAAAGATGTCTTTCTCGAATTGAAGAGGATAAGCTAAACCCAGGAGTGTCGTTATAGATTGTTGCTCAAACAATGTTAGGGAGCTTAAGCTAAAGCATAAACATTTAATTTGAGAGATGGGCATGAACTGGAACTTGATAAACCTCTTCTTTGGCACCTATTTTCAGCCTTCTTTTTGAATTTTAAGTTATAAATAATAACATGAAAGCTTTTCAACTCACTGGTGGGGGATAAAAGCCTCTCGAGAGCAAGAACACAAACTTCCAGTTGACGTCAGTAGCTCAAAAATGTCTGTACTTCAGTTCTTTATTATTTTTTCTCAGACCACAGTTGTAAAGAAAAAGATGTACTACAACATGAGGGTGAAAACACTACAGAGGAACAAAGCAGACTTGCTTTTCAGACTGGAGACAGAGAAGGCAGTTCTTCAGGCCGACCCGAAGAACAGGATGCATAAACTGTTTTCAGCAGTCAAAGATGTATGCATTAACACAAGTTTCAATGCTTTTCATGTATATTAAAAAAGTGAAATTTTATTTTATAAATTTATTATAATTTTGTCAAATGAATTTTTATCTGGCCCTCTTTGTCAGTCAATCAGCATTATCCAGCCCTCTTCAGGAGTTTATAAACAGTACTACTGTCTAATTAACAATTAGAATAGGAGCCCTAGTTTTCTATTTAACAATTGGATTATAAGCTCAAGGTTTCTATCACGTTCACGATAGTTGACATTAGGTCAAAACCCAAGTCAACTGTCACGCATAGAAATCAAGAGCTAATAATCTAATTGTTTTTTCTTTTTTTTAACAATCTACTAGTCGTAAACTTTATCTGAATCCTCTTCCCATACACTTGGAAAATGCAAAGAAGCAGCCTCCAGTTTTTTAACAAGCGCTCACTGCTACGCTATTCACTATCTGCAACAGAATAGATAGTGAGCAGCATGTAGCGTGGTCAATCAGAGGATGCCACTCGTGATAGAACGCTAATAGATTTATGCTAATTGTAGTTATTGATACTGTCCTTGCAGATAGAAAGAGAGGTTGAAGAAGGAGGTGAAGGTCTGTTGTTGTCTTTCAAAGAAAACAAGAGTCCAATCAGCCCTGCTGCTGGTGATGAAGACACAATGGAAAACAATGAAGATCAAGGGAAGATGGCTGCTGATACTGTGATGTATTCCCAGAGATTACAACAGAAGAAGGAGGCCCTGCTGAAAAGAATCGCAAAGCTACAGAAACAGTGGGATGAGTAAGAACTACATACATTATACATGTATTATATTCTCAATGTTCATGGTGTTTCTCCCTACTCAGGTGTATAAACCCTGGTTCACACTTTTGAGATAAGCCCTACAGTAAACACAAGCACAAGCAAGGCTGTGGTCTAAGAAAAATTATGAGGAGCCCAAAGGTTCCTAACTATGAAATCCTGGGTGCCCAGCATTTAAGCTTGTATGAAAAAAGTAAGTGTTTCCAGTCACTCAAAGGCAAAAGTTAGTCGCCTGTGGCACCCAGCGCTCCTAGAGCACAGCCCTTACAAGCCCAAGGATGTTCACACTAGCTAACAACATACACACACGCAGTAGTGACGTGTTACATTGTACATCGCCAGAGAAACAAGATAGCTATTGGTTAAATTCTTGCGCTTATGCTTGTGCTTATTTCACGCCAGTTCCCAATTGAGAAATACGCTTAACACTAGTCAAATAAGCATTAGCACAAACACAAGAAAAAAGGAAATATTTCTTTTCTCTTGCTTCCTGCTTGTGCTTATTTCACCTTGCTGCACACTAGTGTTTTCTTACGCTTATGCTTAAGCTTGCACTTACGCCTGTACTTATCTCACAAGTGTAAACCAGGCTTAAATGAGGGTAGTGGTGCAACTTGTTGAGACAAATCTGACAGATGGTCAAGTGAAGTAACCTGTCACGTTCAAACTAGAAGATCTTCCTGTGGAAAGAAGCTTCCTTTAATGACACTGAATCCAGAGATAAGTCTGGTCTGAATGGACTTGTTTGAATAGACTGGCTGTTTATTTTCGAACTCAAAGGTCAACATAGAAATTCTTCTGACTGAATTTCATACATTTATAATCAATAGTACCAATGTTGTAAGGAGGAACGGAACATTTGATATGTTTTGATTTGAACACTTTCTTCTCTCAGGATTGATCAATGTCATCAGGAAAGCTGTGAGCAGGTGAACAATGTGTCAGAGATGACAGTACAGCGGCTGCTGCTGGAGCTGGAGACTGGTGGAAATGTTCGCTTTGAGGACGGCAAACCAGCAGATCCTTGGTACAGTTACTTTTAATTAAAATGTGGATGGGTTTTCAAGCTACACTAGAATGCAGAGGCGGATTTAGACGGGAGGGGGGTGGATTGGGTGGCTAGCCACCCCCCATTGGAGAAGCAAAAATAAAACAAATAGAAAACAATTGTGAATATTATGGCAGAAATAAAGGCAAACGTTCTAGACAGATACCTCATTGTAATTTCTTTTTTGAGGCATTGCTATTAATTCTATTGCAACATTTTTCAGTTAGGTCTCAATTCTCAAATTGCTACATTTGGGGGAGATGTGTGAATGAAAATCTGATGCCAAACGATTTAAATATATAAAGTTTGATCATTGCACTATGCAGTCATAGTCTATAAACCTGCGATAGACGCAGAGAACAAATAGAATGTCGATGGCAATGTCAGTCAAGAACTACCTGTACCTCTGTCAAAGTTAACCCATGATAATTTTTTTGAAGGTACAAGTCGTGTCATGATCTGGTGTTGTCAAGATTCTGTGTTGGAGATTATCTGGTAAGAACTGGACTCATTTTTTCAGAAATTCTTTCTTTTTCATTGTATAATAAGCGTCAAGAATTGATTGGTTTTCGCCCCGTCCTCACAAATGCGTTTTCGTTTGAAAGAACATACGTTTTGATGGGTATCGCCTACCGTCCACACGATATTTATAACGATCGAAACAAAGATCTAAAAACGCTTTCCAGAATGGGGACGTCAGAAAATGGCGCCCAAGTTGAGGAAACGAAGGCTTTCAAAAACGCTGACGTCATTCACATCATGCGCGCATGTGCAAATGACATAGCATATCAGTGCTAGCGTTTTTAACCGGTTTACTGTGGACTGGACAATGATGCGAAAACGGTAGTGTGGAAGGAGACGTTTTTTGACGAAAACGTGTAATCAAGAACGTATCGTTTCGAAAACGCATTACTGTGGATTGGACTTTTGTGTTTCTCAAGGTATTGTCTGTGAAACGTGATAAGTTTAAAACCCTTCTTTTGTTTTAATCATTTCCTGGTGTGAAATCAAGAGTATCACGAAATAATTTTGTTACATCTATAAAGTAATTATAAATCTCTTTATCTACATATGGACCCTTCTTGAGGTTGGTTGCCAAAGCCAAATGGTTGCCAATTTAAAATTCTTTTGTATACATTTAAATTAGCCTGACTAACCTCGTTTGGGAGCAAAAAATCGTTTGAATTGTCAACTGTAAGGCTAACTGTAAAACTTACCAAAGAATTTGTAATTGGCAGCCATTGAAAAGGGTCTATGAGAACTACAACCTATGCCTTATCTAGGACAGGTATTTTGTGTGAGATTATAATCTTGTTTTGTCTATTGCAGGGTGCAGGAATTTCTGGAATTAAAGTGCACAGAATCACAAGAGTGCACAACAGAATCTTACGAACAAAATTTGATGACAAACTCGATCAGATTCTGGACCGGGATGACATTGTGGAATTAACCAAGTATGAGCCTATTTTTGATAGGTTATTAATATTTAGTACATCAATTCTTTAATGAAGTATCGTGTCTCCAAGAGCACACAGGAACGATCTCTCTGAGTCTCTAGGTTTCGACTTTTCCTGTCACTTAAACGACCGGACTGCTGCCACGTAGCTAGTTAATAACTTGAAGTTGTTAAAGGTAAATAGTTTATGTTATATTTGAAATATTTGTTTATTTATTTACAGTGTCCCCAATTAGCACACTGGTGCTAAATACATCGACACTTAAATAAAGTGATTATTATTATTATAACTGCTTTAGCGACTTTGCTCTGAAAAAGGTAGACTTGCCACGAGTCGACCTCTGCTTAGTTCTTCGCTGCGAGAAGGCAGTCGTCGAGCGAAGAAGTCGTGAGCCAACTGGCCAGGGGAGAATTATCGCAAGGGACTTTTAGAAAGTCTATGAAGAAGGGCTGGCGTTCAAAAGCGCCAGGTTCAGTGACTTGCTAAGGTGGTTAGTCTACAGTTTAACTTGCCGCCGACGCAGCGCAACAGTTTCTTTAAAAGCTAATATATTTTTCTGACTGTCCCATCTCTAAGGATAAAGACAGTTATCTGCTATCTACTTATCTGAATGCAGGGGACTAGAGATGGCGCAGTGGTGAGACCGTTCACCTCGCACCAATGCCAATTCGACCAGGATAGAGGAAATGCATTGAAACCAGCTAAGGCTGATGTGACTTCCTCTCTAAATATTGTAATTTATGTACTTTTTATTTATTTATTTATGTCATGAAACTAGTATGTGCACCTTGTCAAATATGATAGCAATGACAGTACGGTTACGAAAATTGTCAAGAAACCTGCTTCAAAGTTGCTAAAATCTGCTTATTTCATCATCTAGGGGGAGATCTTACAAGCGTCTGTTAGAGTATCTATTCTTCATGTGGGACCCGTCTCTACTCAGCGGAAACAATGAACCAATCAGAGTGTTGGAGGAAGGATTCTGCCCTGCAGCTGTTTACGAAGTGAGTTCAATTTTACATTTTACACTTTTCAGTGGAACTCCATTAATACGGTCACCAACGGACCATTTGGCCGTAGTAATGGGTAGGGTAAAATTTCATGACTGGTCTAAATTGAGTGACGTCTTGACAGATAAATCACAATTCCACTTCTAAACAAGTGTTCATTACATGTAATAAGCATCCAGAATGCAGATACAATTTTTTTTTTTTTTTAAGAAAAAAAGGAAACTTCAATCAGAACATACATTATGAACAATGGAAAGATGAACATAACTGCGGGTTTGTGTGGCCGTGTAAACGGGGTAAAACTTTAAAGGATTATACAGGTTGGGATTTCAGAATGTGGCCGTTGGCCGTATTAACGGGGTGTTCTAAAAAGAAAATGTATGGCGTTTTGCCGGGACAAACAATACTGAACGTAATAACGAGGTGACCGTATTAACGAGCGGGGTTCCACTGTACTAGTAAATCACCGAGGCAGCTGTTTTTAAAAGTTACAATAAGTGAGAAGAGCTTTCATAAATCCACAGTGTTGATATTCTTCGTTTCAAAATTTCGGAAACGTTAGCTCTGTATATTGCCATCATTATGCTATAACTTCACTGGAAGCCGGGTGTACTTTGGAACTGATTCAGAAGCTGTGAAACATTTGGCAGCTACACCAAACAAACTTGGCAGTATTCTCAGAATCACACTCCCTCCGCGCTCAGATTACGAGTAGTGCCCCTAAGTTCGCTAAGTCTGTCGAGAGAGACCGTAAATAAACCACAAGGAAAAAAATGGCCGCGCGAAAGGAGACCTTTTGGCTCTTCTCACCCCCAGGATTTCGCGCGGCCATTTTTTTCTTGCGGTTTTCTTTCGCGTCATGCACAACGGACTAAGCGAAAGAGGGACTACTCGTAGTCTACTCCGCGCTCAACTAGCATTAACTGTTGTATTAAATCTGTCACATTTGTTAATCTCCCGTATGAACTCTAACTACTTACAGCACATTCGCCGTTTTAGAGACGCGAACAGACCTGGGACTAGTCACTAGTGTCCTCTCGCAATGGCATGTAGGACCGTAGAGAAGCCATATTTCCCATGTAACGATCCCACAAGCGACTGCGAGATGAGACTCGACCCAGGTTTCTTCTTGTTTCCAAAGCGGCGAATAGCTGGGAATGGCTCGTCTCTCTTACGTGCATGCGCAGCACGTATTCAGACAGCTCTTAGTCCCGTATGTAACGCTCCGCCATGTTCTCCTTTCAGAGCTTGAATGAGGATGGTGGTGTTCCACTAGCCAACAGTGTGAGTGTGAGCGATAAACTACGAGTTGATTTTCTCAAAGCAAAAGCCAGGCAAAGAGGAAGCACCGACCAATGCCCATTTAGACATGGTAAGGACCAACTTAGGTTGTGTTTTTTGGGGGA